CACACACACACACACACACACACACACACACACAGCACGACTTGTGACTGCGGGGACGACCATACTCACCTTTAACGATTCTACTCGTGATTGACTGCGCGCGGCCCGCGCTCGCTGGCTCGCTGCATGGCTCACTCGATCGCTGCCGTCAAGGTCAGCATTCAATCACACATCCATAATCAGCAATCAAGAATCGCTGTTGCGCCTTGATTGCAATTCAGCAGCTGCTGATGATGTGATACGCGGCGCCGCGCGGGCAGCGATCTTGTATCATACGCATCAGTCTTGAGCGACGAGTGCTGGGAATGCAGCCACGAGTACGAGTCATGGAGCAGCAGCTTTAAACTCGACTCGTACTACTCACTTCACGCCGCTCGGCTGCGCCTGATGCCAATCAAAAGAATAGTGAACGGCGAACGGCGAACGGCGAACGGCTCGTCAGACTTTTGACATTCAGTCTGCCGCTCCATCGCTGCTGGCCTCACACCTCATCCTCTAATTGTCTCTCCATCCCCACTCACCGTGCTCTTCCAAAGCACAACCCTCCCTCCATCCACCCTTGCATCCACCAAGCGTGCCTCTTCCATCTCTGCCTCTGTTCAAATCAATCAATCGCCACGCCACGCTACACACACACACGAAAACAAGAGAAATGTCGAACACGACACAGCAAGCGGATCGCAACAACAGCAACGCTGGAGCGGGTGAGTGCCTGCTGGATGCACATCATTCTCTTCACTCCTGTCCCTTGCTATTTTCGCTGACTCCTGACTCGAATCCTGCCCCTTTTTTTTTTTTGCTGCAAACGCCTAACGCCCAACGCGCATCCTCCCTGTTCCCTCTTGACCTGCCTGCTTGCTTGGTCCAACGAACGAGCAAAAGGTGGCAAGGCTACCTTGACTCCCACGGCCATCGAAGATGTGCACAGCGCACAGCAGCTCGAGCTCAACCTCAGCATGCCAGCGCCAGCGGGCAACCAAGCCACTCGACCAGGCTCAGCTTCTGCCATCGAGTCCTTTGTCACTGCAGACGGCACCGATACGGGCGACACTCCAGCGGGCGCTGCACAGGCCACCTCTGCGGATATCGATACCAATGCCGATGCTGCTGATGCCACCACCACCTCCTCCGCCAAGCCGCTCACTGCGTCCAACGAGCAGCCTCCTCAAGTCACGATCGACGATGCCACGGACGATGAAGCCAATGAAACCAAAGGGGCTCATCTTGCTACTCCCACTGGACGCCGCAGCGAAGCGCAGCCGCATGCTTTGCAAGATGCAAAGAGCAAACGCAAGACGCAGAGCGATCAGGATGGTGCCATGGCAGGCCACGTCAAAGATGACAACTCTTACCGCAAAAAGGATGTGAAAGCTTCTCACGCTGTCCCCTCTGTCACTGAGATATTTGGTAGCATCAGACGCAGCATCACCGCTCCCTCTACCAGCAAGAGGGCCTCGGTTGCGGATGCAGCTCTACCAAAGAGCGCCAACGAAGCGAAACGCGCTCCGCTACCAGCTGCGCCAATCGAGCCAAAGCTCGAAGCCGACGCAGCCAAGAGCGCACCGAATAATGATGCCAAAAAGAAGCGCCGAGAGTCGCTGATGCTACTCACTCGCAAGATCGGCGAGGCTCTAAACAGCCCTACCGGTAAAGACGCGGACAACCTGGCTCTGGACGCAAAAATCAAAGGTCAGCAGGGTGCGCGGGCCTCGAAGAGCTCCGCTCAACATCGCGAGACGCCAAAGCCAAAGCTTGCTGACGAAGCCGCCGCTAGCCAGACTCTAGCTTCGGCGCAAATGGCCTCGTTGCCGGAGCAGGTTTCGAAGCAGCCAATCGTCACTTCCACCCCACTCGAGCCAACCTCGCAGCTACCCCCGCTACCGGGACCTGATCTTGGAATCCAGCCCACGGATCCCATCGTGGCACCTGGCGAGCCGCAAGGGTCCACGTCGAACACGCTGCCTCCGCTTCCTGGACCCTTTCTGGGTCCACCCCCTGCCCTCATAGCAGCGGAAGCCAAAGCCAAAGCTCTCTACGGACAGCTCAAACGTCGAATGAGCGTCGTCTTTGGAGCCTCGCCTACCGAGCACCACCCTGCAGCTGCATCGACGGTGGGACCGCAGCCGGATGCGCGAGGAGCCAAGGAAGATGCCCAGTCTGCAGGCAGCGCGCTTCTTACGTCTGCAGACGCGGGAAAAGCGATCATCTTGAACGCTGACGGATCTTCGCAGGTGGTGCAAGCTACGACAAAAGCGGAGGGGAATTCCAAGATCAAGCAAGCGCCCTCGGCTGGTAGTCGAGCCGAGACGAGCGATGCTGCACACGCTCAGAAGGACGAAAAGTCGTCCAGCTCCAAAAAGTCCAGGCGCGCGACGCTGTCTGACAGCTTTAGGCGTCTCGCCTCGCACCAAATGGCGACGCCCGAAGCTAGCGACGCGCTCTCAAAAAGTGTTTCTAAGCACAGCGGCGGCAAAGAAGTGGATGAGCAGGCGACGAAGAACGCTGATGCGCACGCGCCGCGAGCACAAAGTGACCACGTAACGGCAGGGAACAAGATGCAGAGCGATGTACTCAAAGACAAGCAGGCAATTGCCTCCGCGCCTCTCTCGACTGGGCAAGAGTCAGAAGGGCAGGACAATATGCTGGCGACTTTCAGCAAGCTGCTTCATCGTCCGCTCCCGCACACGCCCAAAGCGAACGCAAGGGGTGAGGCTGATGCTGAGAGCGCCAATGACGCAGTTAAGCCGGCTAGCCTGAATGCTCGTGGGGCTTCGCAGCGAGGTTCGAAGGAAAAGAGCAACAAGAGCACGCTTGCTGGCAGCGTTAGCGTCCTTGGGGCGTTCAGGAGCAAGTTGGGACAGTACAGGGCACCCACCGGCCTTGCTGGCTGGTCTCATTCGCCAAAGACCGCAGCTCCTGCCACTGCGTACGCGAACGTCAAGGGCGCACAGGGCAAAGTCGCCACGGCGGAGGGGCAAGAAGCGGCCAAGCATGCGTCCAAGAAGGACGGTCAGAATGCCAAAGAGGACGCCGATGTCAAAGACGCGCACAATGTGACGTCGTCTAGCAATGCAGGCAATGCGGGCGCCAGCGCTGCCGAGGCCAGACCTTACGGTTTGGGTGATGACTCAGCCCCTCTGACGGGGCAGCAAGTCAAGGCAGACGTGCAGGAGTCCGACGCCATCGAGCCCCAAGCGGTTGCTGGAGGCACAGCGGCGCAAGCAGTCCGCGAAATCAAGGCATAGGCTTGCCTGCTCTTTCTCCTCCACGGTTTCTCTTGCCCTTTCGGATTCGCGTCGTGTGCAAAGTCGATTCAGTCGTCGGTCTGATCGCCACACCACGACGTCAAAATTCAACACACCTCCTCTTCCGCTCTTTCGGCTTGCCTGCGATCGAGACGTTCTCAAGACGCCTTTGAACGTCCGCTGCAGCACTTTGACAAATCG